ACTACTACGCTCGGGGTTGCAGGTTCGATTTCCTGAGTGATTTTTTCTTTTTTTTTATCTGATTTTTTGGAATCTGCTCGGAGCTGACTTTAGACCAAAAGGCATCTTGGTGTATTCGAATTGACCTAGAGGCGTTATAAAAGCCGTGTATTTAATCGACTCTTCAGCTACTCGGATATGAAAGAACCCATCTCTGAGATCCAATGTGTTAAAATACTTTTTGCCCAGTAAAACATTGATCTGATCTTCAATTACTGGAATCGGATAATTTATACGTGCAATATACTTATTCAACGTTCTATAGTCAATACATAAACGATATTCTCTGTTTTTCTTTCTTACCAGTACAATTGGTGACGCATACTCCGAATTGCTCGGTCTGATTATCCTTTTCGCTAGTAACTCATCTAATATTATCTGTAATTGTTCCTTTTCCGCATAGGCAAGTCGTCTCGGGAAGAAATGGAAAGGTTGTACATCCTTCAATTCCAATTTTAATTCTGCATTTACCTTTGGTTCCTTTGGGCGCTCTGGATTTATATACTTCTTCTCGAATATGCTCTTGAATTCTATCTGCTTATCCTGTAATTTCGAAATTAATAATTAACGAATCGGATATATTATCTACCATTTCCGTCGCATTTATGTTCAGGATTTCATTAACTTCTTCCTCTACATCGCTCTTAACCTCACTTGCAATACACAATTTGAATTGTTTCAAAAAATCTCTACCTGTTATCAACGAAAATGACATCATTAGGAACAACATAAACGTGTGCATCAACCTCCTTTACTTTATCAGAAGAGATATCTACCGTAGTGGAGCCAATAATATTTAATCTGCTCTTATTTATTCCACAAACTTTCCTTTCTTTATCGGTATAGTCAATAAAACAACTAGGGATCATTTTTTCTTTTACAAAGCTAATCGAGCTCCCTGTGTCAATTAAAGCATCTACTACTATTTCGCATTTCGTTTGAGAACTATTAAACTTTAAAGTAGCTTCTCTCTGAAAGTCATTAGTAGTTTCCGCGGTATGCACAAAATTAACTTATTCTACATTTACCTTACCTGTACAATTGCCAATCATATGACTCTTCTCTCCACACTTAAAGCAAGCGCCTTTTAGAGCGCAGAGTATTTGAAGCAAATAATACGTATGCAAGCAACATTACGTTTAACATTACAAAACATGAAAGAACGACTAAGCAGAGTCGAAGATGTAATGAAAAATCGCACTTCTGTATCAAATAAGAATGATAATCTTATCGGACATCTGTTACTGCTGAACACAATTGGAAGTATACAAGACTTCGATTCGTTCTTACGCAACACTGATGAAGCAGTCAAGTAATTTGTAAGTTTATAGATTAATTTGCCAAATGTATATCTTTGTTGTGTGTGTGTCTTCGTGCAAGCACTAATTCTTAAAGTTAATTTAAAATTTTTGCGTCCTTACCGAAGATGTTTTGTTTGATGTCAGAATTCGTATGCGATTAGCTTTTCGTCAACAAGATGACCGTAAAGGCACAGGAGTCTTAATAATTATCCTAGATAGCATAGGAAAAAAAACAAAGAAAAGCTTAGTTATATATAATTAACTCTGACGTCATTATCATATGTAAAAATAATTTTTTTTACAAGTTGAATTCTTTTTGCATTTAAAAATGAACTCAGAGTTGGTGACATACGACTAAGTTTTTTTTTTAGTTCTTCATGCTATGTGGGATTTGATTGCGGTATAGTATTCATAATTTTTTATGATATTATGATATCTAATTGTTTTTATGTTTACAGAAAAGCTTTCTGTTAAGGATTGGTGGGAATAATCCAAGAGACAATATTCAGTGCATTCTTCCTAAAATATTAACGGACAAATGCGCAATGAAATGCTTTTGGAAAGGTATTCGCAACAATTTTAAAGTCGCCGATTTATTTCTTATAAAAATTATGAGAAGTATATTCTGCGTATTATTTAAAAAAATATCTACTGATCTCTAAACTTTTCTCATATATTTTATTAATTCAGTATGTTACTTTTTGTTCTAGGAGAAATCACTTTACACCATTCAAATTTGACGGAGGCTGAATTTGATGGAATAGTGGCGGAATGGTTGCGTTTTGCCAAACAAAGAAATGAGAGAGTACAAAAACAAGCCCATGAAGACAATAATAGTGAAGAAGATAATTAATTAACGGAAAAAATAAATATGTATACGCAACGATAAACGCAACGATGCTAATAGGGTTTAAATTAATGTTTAGAAGATGTTGTAAATGCTACATTACGCCATACAGTGTTTCCGTTTTGTGGACTTTAATTTAAACTTGATTAATGTTAATGATGTCTATCTATGGGTCTAGACGTTTCTCTTTTGATGAAAGGCGAGAATTAAGAAGAATTACTGATGAGCTCTTAGATAGAAAAATTATCAAACCAAGCATTTCTCCGTATTGTTCTCGGGTTGTTTTGGTTGCAAAGAAAAATGGAGAGAAACGCATGTGTATTGACCTAAGACAACTAAATAATTGATAATTACTTATTTTCAGTATTAAAAATACTGGATAATAAGTAATTATCAATGATTCTTAGTATGATATTTCTATAAGGATTGTCTCTGTCATTTCTGCTACGCTTTTGTCGTTCAGTGTCTCTTCTAAGTATAGTGACATAGTTATATTTTAACAATTGCGCAATTGACCGTGTTGCACTGATAGGAATTATATAACCAAAACCATTTTTTTTGTGATGGAAGAAGTGCAATAATGATATTATCATACGGGGTGTTCTCATCTTTATTTATAGTAATTATTATATTACTAATTATTATTTTTATTAATATATATCACAAACTTTACACGTTATAGAAACAATGATAAAATTCGAAATTTAGTTATAAATGCAGTCGTTCTAAGTTCTTAATTTATCAATAAGATAAGAGGACACAAATGTCCGAATATATATATAAGGTGTAGTTAAAAGAAATCCAATATTTTTGCATGAAATTGAAGGCTTTATTTAGCATAGTTAGAATGATCCGATTTAGGTCAAATATGCACCGTTTTTTTATACTAGATTTGAGGCTTTCACGGCCATTGATACAATGTCTAGATATAGTTTCCGGAATGGAGCCGTGTCTTGAATCAGCGATATGCCGACGTTTCGCAAACGTTGCAGTTTGCATCATCAGGGCTGAGAACTCGGATACTGAGCTCCCTTGGGTAAAGGTAGTCCTTATATGCCCCCCTCCCCCCCCCTTTGTGTAGATGGTGTTTAGGGAGTAGGGGACGAGGCTTGAATCCAGCCAATCAGCGTATTTTAATTGATCAGCTGGTCAATTAAAAAACCGGGAGGGCAGTATGCCAAATAGAGTTTACTTGCATACCTTTGTCTCGGTTGAGGTTGTTGGGATGTTTCAAAATTTCTAGACCTTCACGATGTTTTCTGGCAAAATAACTCTGTGAGGGAGTCAATCTGGTGACTTTTTCATATTGTACGGAGTGTCCAGTCTCCATCCAGTGTTCAGTTAGGGCTGATTGAGTAAAGTGACCATACTTGGTACATCGCTGGTGTTCCTTGATTCGCGTACTGATCTTCCTCCCGGTTTCTCCTATATAAACTTTACCACAAGAGCAAGGGATCTTATATACACCTGATGTTTCTAGGCATGATTTCTGATCCTTCGGATTTGGGAGTAAATGGGAGAGCTTCCTATGAGGTTTGAAGATTACTTTGATTTTGTGTTTACCCAAAATCCTGCTGATAGGTTCTGTTATGCCCTGGAGATATGGAAGGACAGCCGTTTTTCTCTTTTCTCTCTCTTCATCTAGTGTGTCAGTGTTTTTAGGACTGACAATTCTATTCTTCTGGTTTTTTATTATTTGCGAGATGTTTTTGCTGTTGTATTTATTTTGCATCTCCTATCATTGCAAACATCTTTATGGAACACTTTGAGAATAAAGTTTTGAGGAACGCACCACTGAAACCATCCACATGGTTTCGGTATGTGGACGATACTTTCGTAATTTGGAATCATGGCAGGGAAACTCTTTCTCAGTTTCTCGGGTTTCTCAATTCACAACATCCCAGTATTCAGTTCACAATGGAAGTGGAACAAAATAATCAAATACCCTTCCTGGATGTGCTAGTCCAAAAGAACCAAGATGGCACCTTAGGTCACCAGGTCTACCGAAAACCAACACACACGGACCGATATCTACAT